TTGAGAGCAAGGAAAAAAGTGTTCAATGGTGCTGAAATTTTTTGTGAGTAAGTTTAAACATATTTGCTTCAAATCTTGACGGTTTTGTTTTTCAAATTCTAAAATTTTTTTTTCTGAACACCCCTAATATATATATATATATATATATATATATATATATATATATATATATATATATATATATATATATATATATATATATATATATATATATATATATATATATATATATATATATATATATATATATATAAACATATATATATATATATATATATATATATATATATATATATATATAAACATATATATATATATATAAACATATATATATATATATAAACTATATATATATATATATATATATATATATATATATATATACATATATATATATATATATATATATATATATATATATATATATATATATACATATATATATATATACATATATATATATATATATATATATATATATATATATATATATATACACACACAGCGTGGAAAATAACAGCTGGTCAACAGTCAATGACCGCCTGAAATGACTAAAAATGCTATTTTGAGCTCCCAAAATGAACTCTAGCCAGTCATGGTTGACCGGTTGAAAAAAAAATCAGAGATTTAAAAACTAGGTTTGACAAATAATTAGGATAATGAGGATTTTGAAATTATTTTAATTTTGAAAAATAGTTTTCTTTTTTACGATACACTACTTTAATAGGGTACTGCTTTGGTGATGTCAAATTGTTTGTTTGTCCGAATATCAATCCCACAACCACTAGCTTTTTTAAAAAATTCTTTTGTTTCTGAGCAATGTTTGTCGACATTTTGATCCCAGAAAGCTTTGCAAAAATCTTTTTTTAGAACCGCAACGGTACCCAATTGCGAGTCGTGAAATCGAAAAAAAGTTAAAACAAATTTTTTCTTTAACCTTTTATTTTTCAATGCGTGGTTTTTATTTTTGTTTAAAAATCTTTCCAATAAATTTATTTTATATCAATATAATTCAATATATAAATCAATATAATTAAAAATTAAAAACTTATTAATTTATATCAATATAATTCATATAATAATTTTATATAATTAATTCTCCTCTATAATATATATTCGAGTATATATTAAATTCATTGTTGATAAAACTTTGATTTTATAATTATTGCATATTAATAGAAACCAGTAATTTTTCTGCTTTGTTAACATGCGTTTTGTAGGTAACGTATACGTAACGCTGTAAACTATAATCATTAGGCCAGGTGAATAAAATTGAGCAATTGGTTTTATTTAGTAATTGGTTAGCTTTACGTGAATAAAAACATGACTAATTTTGCTTACGTTTTTGTTCACGCAAAGCAAGCAGTTACTGAGTAAATTGCTTTACTTTACATGAATAAAAATTTGAGCAAAACTGCTAAAGTTTTTGTTTACGTAAAGCTGACCAATTTATGAATAAAAGCAAGTGCTCATTTTATTCACCCGATCTATGTTTTTTGCTTCACTTATTTAAATTTATTTTATTTTACCGATAGTGAAAATTCTTTTTCTTAAATGACTGAAGTTCTTATTTTTTTATTATTTTAATATAAAAATTTTATTTATTATTTTATTAATAATATAATAATGTTTAATAAATATGTATTTAACTATCATCAGTTTTTCTTTTATCTGCACTTAGTCAATTTGTTTTATTTTTCTTACCTTTTGATTTTTTTTCTCATAAGTTTTGCCACAAATTGCAAATAAATGAACAAATGGTTTAAAAAAATTAATTGAACACTTGCACATTTTTTTCAAAACAGGATTTATAAAAAATCAATAAATTTATTTAAAATCTCTTTAGGTAGTGGTGTAGTGGTAGAGCGCTCGCTTCATAAACGAGTGGTTCCGAGTTCGATCCCCACCACGTCCCTGGTAGTACCGCGCTCAACTCGTTTCTCCGCGCAGCGGCCTTGTTCGTCAAGGTTCGTGTTTCGGAGTTATAGAGTTAAGAGAGGGTTATAGCCACAAATAAGTAGCCTCCTCGTCTGTAGTGGCCTTCTCGGCCTTGAGGAGGTGAATTAAAATAAAAAAATAAAAAAAAAAGGTGCAAAAGTTTTTCTTCTTCAACTTCAGAGATTTATTTAATTTTGTTTGAAATTATTATATGTAATTATAAGAGCATAATCCTTTAAATCCTCAACAGTCCTTTTTTTTTTATTTAAGCTTTTCTATCGTTTTTCGATCAACTTTTCCGCCATTTGTGAAGTCATTGCAATGAAACTATTTTTAAATAAATTAAAATTTATCAATTGGCTGTTTGCGCTTTTAAAAAAACATTGATTTTATTTAAAATTGTTATTATTAAAATAAAAAATTAAAATTTTTACTACCCGAAAAAAACAATTGACCGTCAGCGACGGTCAATTGTTTTTTTTGGATAGTCAAAACTTTTTGACTACCAGAACCCTCACATCATCATGTAATAAATTGTGTCATCAAAATAATTTTTTTGAAAATAGATAATGTTTTAAAAATAGTAAACACGAGCTCATAAATTTCATATTTCACATTTATTGCATGTTCAGTTTTATAATTAATAATAATTTATTTTATACATAAATCACATAGTGAAATAAAGTTATAATCACAAAGTCTCAGCAAAACAACAACAAATATCGTTTAATTATAGAGTAGTATTATTAGCAAGCGATTGCATGCAGAATACCAGTAAAAAATAAAAAAACTTTAACAAATTCAGTTGATATAAAATACCAAACAAAAAAAAAGAAAACCAATAACTAAAAGACTTTTCGTGATCATTGATCAAAAGGTATCTGACATAACCTTCTCAATATTTTTGTTGACGAAATACATGTACTACTAAAAACTAAAGTTGAGTTTACAGTAAGACTTAATAAGTTATTTAACTTTTTCGGACAAAACTTTTAAAGAAATAGCAATTGTGGGTGTTAAACCAAACAAGTTTGTTACTATTTTGGATCTTTTAGATTAGTACTTTATTTCTTGCTAACTATTTTATATAATATTTGCTGTTGTTGGAATGCATTGCAAAAAACTATTTTCAAAATTGCAAGTTGTCTAAAAATTCCCAAAAATCGCTCCAAATTCAAATTCTCATGTTTTTTCCAAGAAACCAATTTTCGCAGTTATGCAATTGCGTTTTTATACCAATAATTAATGCGCAATTAATGAAATAGAATTTTTTTATGTTATTTTTCTATTAATTTTTTAATAATAATTAATTTTAAATTATTTTTAGATTTATTATTAAACTTTAATTTGGAAACTTTATTAGTAGAATGGGATTTTTTCATCTTTAAATTAAGAATTTTAAATTTATGAGCATTTAGGAAAAACGCGTTTGACGGGGCGCCACAGGGCTAGTTTACACCCTGTATACATATATATATATATATATATATATATATATATATATATATATATATATATATATATATATATATATATATATATATATATATAGTCTTGAATGGTAGCTAATAAACCAGACCAGAAAAAGTTTAAAAACTTTAATAATTTATTTTTTTTAATGATAAATTGCTTGCCTAAACTAAAGCCTCAGTCAATGTAGTGGTATTTTCTTGTAGCACCAGGCTATAAGATAGTGAATGTAGCAGTGCTCCCTTGTAACACCAGGCTATAAGGTAGATGATGTAGCAGCACTTCCTTGTAGCAGTAGGCTATAAGATAGTTGATGTAGCAACACTCTTATAATAGTAGGTTATTAGATGTCGCAACACTACGCATATTTTAAAAATATGTTTAAAAAAACAAAGACAAAAAAACTATTAATTAAAAAAACTATTAATTAAAAAAATTAATTAAAACACTATTAATTAAAAAAACTTTCTAGTCATTTTTATTGCGTTATTTTTATTGTTTTAATTTTTAGATGACATTTAAATGTAGCTTATTTGTTGAAACTTTTTTTACCATACCTTTTATCGTAGTCTTTTGACTAGGATAAAAGGATATATATGTGTGTGTATGTATGTATATGTATATATATATATATATATATATATATATATATATATATATATATATATATATATATATATATATATATATATATATATATATATATATATATATATATATATATATATATATATATACATATATATATATATATATATATACATATATATATATATATATACATATATATATATATATATATATATATATATATATATATATATATATATATATATATATATATATATATATATATATATATATATATATATGTATATATATATATATATCCATATAGTGTAGTCGAAAGAGCGTTTTAATGTAAAAAAAGTCTCTTACAACTACAATTTTAATTACCTCGTCTCTTAAGCTGTATTTGATTGTCGTCGAAATGTCAAAGCAATTAAATTAATGCGGAAGTACATTAAATTTTATTGTTTTTTAAAAATTTTTTTAAAAACCGCAATTATAACGACTAGAAAGTTTTTTTTTATTAGTGATGTTTTTGTTTTTATTTTATTTAAAAACATTTTTAAAACATGCGTAAATGTTGCTACATCGACTATCTTATAGTCTGACTCGCAACGAAGTGCTGCTACATCGACTGACAAATAGCCTGACTCGCAACGGAGTGCTGCTACATCGACTGACAAATAGCCTGACTCGCAAGGGAGTGCTGCTACATCGACTGAGGATTTGGTTTGGGCAGGCAGTCTATCATTTGAAAAAAAAAAAAAATTCAAGTTTTTAAACTTTTTCTGGTCTGGTTTATTAACGCGCTTTTTAAAACTACAGTTTATGGGAAACTCTTTTCAACTACCATGCAAGAGTATATATATATATATATATATATATATATATATATATATATATATATATATATATATATATATATATATATATATATATATATATATATATATATATATATATATATATATATATATATATATATATATATATCCTATATTATAATTGTTTTATATTTTTAGTTTTCTTTTTCCCTTGGACATGAAAATCCTCTAACAAAGCCAATGCCTGTTAGTAAAAAGTTGCCACCAGAACCTACTCCTGATGAAGAATTGCTAATGAAAGAATCCTTAAAGGAAAAGCTGCTGCCTTTAAATGAAAACTTACACAATGAAAATATTAAAAGTTATGGACCTTTCTTTTTAGAATACTCTATAGCTGCTGAATTGTAAGTATATATATTAGGTTTCAATATTTAATGGTTTTCAACAATATCAAAGTTTTATTACTTAAATTCATTTTTTATATTTATATAGCAATCATGTTAAAAAAACTCGTTTACCTGGTGTTTATGTTATACCATCAGCTAAAGATCCATTAGGTATTTTATTTTATTGATATATAGAGAGAGGAGGCCTCTACAGGAATTGTGGGTGATTGCCTGTGCCCACCTCCACACCTGTGTAAGTCAGTTTACCTAGGCAAAGTGAGGCATAATGCTTTAATAAGCATTAAATAATTGTAATCATGAAATATTTTTTTAATTTTTTTTATTTTGTTAATATGGTTTATAATGAAATTTTTATACTAGTCATTTGATTATTATTTTCAAAACATTGAAAAATTGAAAACTTTTTTAAAATGTAACATAAAGCATTACCTATGCTATTTTTTTATACTTACTTATTGAGTAAAATATGGCTAAATCAAATCAAAAATAATATTTAATAACTTAAATTTAAAAAATTTTTATGAATAGTATAAATATTGAATTACGAACACAAAAACAATTATAAAAGCATCGAATTCATTCAAATTTTAATAACAAAAACTTTTCTTATAACTACTTGCTTTCTCGCTTTGAATTATAAGTGTGATTTTTAAACTTTTAAAAATTAGGAAAAAAAATTCACAAAGAAAAGAGTAAAGAATGCATTTTTTTATACATGAAAATAGGAAGAAATGTAAAACAAGATAATATTTATCAACTAATCAATTGTTTTAATAAAAAAGCTAATTAAGTATATACTAATAGAGTTAAAAAAAATTGTTCAAATGCAATATTCTTTTTAACAATTTTTCTAAAAAATGTTACAATGCTTGAGTAAATAGATATCGGAAAATGAAGCCATTCCTGACAATTGTTTCTCTGCTGTATTTATGATATGATAAAAAACATCACAGTGTAACTAACAACAATTATTAAAATGTAATCATCATAATCATTTTATTTTCTCTCTGAGCATTTTTATTTGAAAATTTAAAAAAATCATTTGAAAACGCTAATCGCCCACACAAGCGTATCATTTGGGTTACCCACTAAATCCGTTTTATACAAGCATTTTAGTGCTCATTCACTCATTTACTCTTGCTAAGGTTTATATATATATGTATATATACATATATATATATATATATATATATATATATATATATATATATATATATATATATATATATATCCTTATAGTGTAGTCGAAAGAGTCCTTTAATGTAAAAAAAAAGTCTATATATATATATATATATATATATATATATATATATATATATATATACATATATATATATATATATATATATATATATATATATATATATATATATAGATATAGATATAGATATAGATATAGATATAGATATAGATATAGATATATATATATATATATATATATATATATATATATATATATATATATATATATATATATATATATATATATATATATATATATATATAGATATAGATATAGATATAGATATATAGATATATAGATATAGATATATAGATATATAGATATATATATATATATATATATATATATATATATATATATATATATATATATATATATATATATATATATATATATATACGTATATTATCACTATATCCCTTGACAGGCAAAATATTTTCAGTGAAAAGTCATTACCACATAACTCAAAAAATTAAGGTGTTTAGGAGAGGCAAAAATCTGAATTGATGCTATGACAATAAACACGCACACTATAGTGTGTATAGATATGCATTTGCATTCTTTTTTTTTTTGCTAACCTAACCTAATACGGTTTTTTTGCTCAAAAAGAAAACAGGGAAAAACAAAGAATAATGAAAATAGTTATCTCTACCCAAACCCAAATCCTCAGTTGATGTAGCAGCAACTCCAATGGATCTTCTCCCTATATCCCTTGACAAACAAAATATTTTCAGTGAAAAGTCATTATCACATAACTCAAAAAAATTGAGGTTTTCAGAAGAGAAAAAATCTGAACTGATGCTATGACAATAATTTTTAATAATTTTAACTGATGCTATGACAATAATTTTTGATAATTTTAACTGATGCTATGACAATAAACTCACAATTACAAAAAGTATACAACTTTACATTACTATTTTTAACCTTCATTAATTAAAGTTTAAATATTTAGTTAAACTGAATTTAATTAAATATTGAGACATAATACCATTTACATCAGTTGCCTCAGATTCTATAAGAAACTAAAAAGCCTATGCAAAGTTCAAACAAGTCTCTGTGTTTCAGTGCATTCATTAATGTATTGTTTAATGAAATGTAAATTACTCACTTGTCAATAAAGTGGAGGTTTTTTATAGATAGACCTACATGAAGTTTAAAGACAATAAATTTGTATTAAAAGTTTCAAAAGCTTACTGCAACAAAAAACACTTGTAGAGTATTCCTCCACAAATGAAGATGATGGAATTAGGTAAACTATGCTGCAATTGATAATGCAGAATAAGGAGTTTAGGAAGTCATTAATGGTTCCTCTACAATAACAGAGCAGAACATCCAAGTTATAGTAGCAGAACCTTTAAGCAGTTACCACAACCTGGGATGCATTATCTTCATTCTCATTTGAATTTTGTTAGATCAAATCACTTTAAATATTTAATAATATTTAATTGAGAGTTAAATATAATTAAACATCATTTTTTTTTTTTTAATTAAGTTTTATATTTTTGTTAAAAAGTTAGTGACTATTGTAGCAAAAATTATAACTGAAAAAATCCAGTTGTAAATAAGTAATAAAAATACTGACTGTGTGTATAATAATATACAATTTTGCAGACAACAAATACAACTTTTTAAATGATTTTAGTTTGGTTCGGTGTTTTGTTTATCAGGCAAGGCATTTATCAAGATGGTGTTTTTCGTTTTTCTATAGTTATCCCAAGCAACTATCCTGATGGTGATTGTCCTGTAAGTTTTAATGTTTATATATGTTTATATAATGTTTATATATGTTTATATATATTTTTTATAAATAATAAAACTAATGATTTCTCCAGGTAAAAATAATTACATGTAAATTTAGTTGTTCTACATTTCTCTTATCAAGAAAATAATGAACTGTTAATAGATAAGATCTAGCTTTTTTTAATTTTTATATCTATTTAGGTATTTAATTTTTTTCTATATTAGTATATAAGGGTAATAATTTCTTTCTATATAAGTATATAAGGGGTAAGCAGAAATGTTCGGTCAGCCAGCCTCATGCTGCTTTTTCATCTATTAGGCTGGCATAGATTAATCTATATTTTTGCTTGCCTAAGATAATAAACATTGGATCTATCTGACTCTACTCATAAGTTGTTGTTTGTGCCTCCTTGTTAGTAGCAATCCAACTCTTCTTGTTATCTCCTAATTGAGGGTATAGTTCTGAAACTCAGTTTAATGGTTTTGACGCTGGCTGGTAATATTTCCAAAGTCTCAGAAAGACTGATTCCATCTAGAGCTGTAAAATATCAGAGTTTAAACAGTACTATGTTGCACATGGATGGGTTGCTTGTATCCTTGAGGTCATGTAAGGAACCCTTTGTTACAACTTAATTAGTAGGACTGAGTTAACTGCATAGGTTTTTTTTTATAAGACTGTATCTTTTTTGATTTCATTTTTGATAAATTTGACCAATGCCTTTCTTCTATTCATTAATCGATATTGTTTTTTTATTGGTGATTTAAATTTTCATCTTACTGAATAAATTGGCTTTAGTAACATTGACCTTACTGGCTTTAAAGCTCATAACTTTTTTTATTTTTCAATATTATTCTCAGAGTTAATTTTGGGACTCTGGGTCTAGATTACAAAGATAATTTCTGCTTGCTCTCGTTTTGGCAATTAATCAATTTAATGAGTATACATAAATAATTATATACTTAATGAGTATACATAAAATTATATACAACCCTCAGAATTAAGAAAAGTGAGGTTATTCTTTAAGAGGTTGGCAAAAAAAAAATTGATACAAAGGTCTTACCATAAAACATAGAAACGAGGTTAGCCGTTAGATTGGCATTGCCAAATGCTGAACCTAATTCCGAGGGCTGATATATATATATATATATATATATATATATATATATATATATATATATATATATATATATATATATATATATATATGTATATATATATCAGAGTCGTAACCACAATTTTCATATTAGGGGGGCCCATATTACATATTAAAGACCTTTTTTTTCCTTTTTTTCTTTTTTTTTTTTAGATACCTATTTTAGGGGCCCAGAGATAGGGAGAGGCCCAAACACCAAACATAGCAGGGAAAAAGCCCTAAAAAATATGTTTTTCCTTAATAATTATAGTTTAATAATTTTTTTCTGGGGGGGGGGGCTAGACCCCCTGCAAATGGTGTATATGAGATGGAGGGTTGGAACAGTTATAAAAGTAAGGAAACATTAAATTGAAAGAAAATATCATAAAATGTTAGGTAGTTAGGTTAAAAGCATAGGTACTTTTAGGGAGGTAAGGGGTACTCAAAAAAGCATATAACAAAATGCATTGAAGGAGGAGGGGGGATGTTGAAATAACAAGCGTACATATTTTATGGACGACTCCTTATGTAATTTTTTACCTTTAAGACTGAAAGTGAAAGCCTGCACCTCAGTATAGAGCCTGCATAGTATATATTTATAACCTTTAATATATATATATATATATATATATATATATATATATATATATATATATATATATATATATATATATATATATATATATATATTTATATATATATATATTTATATAATTTAAATTATACTATTCTCAGAGGCAGGTAATATTTTTGATGAAAAAAGAGCTAGTTTGTTGCCCAAAACTGGATGGCAAATCTTTTTGCAGTACAATAATCCTAAACTTCTAAAATCCTTTTATAATCGATTACTGCAAATAAAGTAACATAGTGCTTATTAAGAATTTTGTATTTTTTACCTAGGTTTACATATAGTTCTTCCATGCCCTGTAGGACAATGATTTTGTGATTTAATTTACACAGTCTGTAAATTAAATCAAAAAATCATTACATTACAGAATTTTTTTAACCCTTATTTATAAGACATTACATATCTTATAAATAAAGGTTAAAAAAGTTCCCGTATTCTGGCCTGAAAATTTTTAATTTTGGCCAAAACCGGAAAGATCTAAAATTCACGAATTCCGACCGTAATTCCGGTACATGCCTAATTTTTATAAGTTCTTTTACAATATTTTTTTTCAGTGGATTTTTTTATAATATAATTATCATTTTTGAAATTTTCATATAATTACGCTTGAGACCCAACAAAATTATAAACTTTTGAAGAACTTCTTTTTTCTGATAATATTTGGAACTTATTAAATGATCAATGGTGTTGAGGAACCCCAAAAAATATTTTTAATTCAAAAATTGTTTAAATTCTGTTTTTTTATTATATAGTTAACATTGAGGGGATGCCAGCATATATTTTTTTAAAATCTTGTTATTTAGGACACCCTAATATACATACTATACATACATACATATATATATATATATATATATATATATATATATATATATATAATATATATATATATATATATATATATATATATATATATATATATATATATATATATATATATATATATATATATATATATATATATATATATATATATATATATATATATATATATATGGCAAATATTGTTTTTTTGCTTTTTTTTTGTATTCAGCAATATTTCTGCTAAATTTTTCCTGGACGGAGGGGTACTGCTACCCATATTTTTTTCTTAAAATAGCCCCTGATATATATATATATATATATATAAATATATATATATATATAAATATATATATATATATATATATATATATATATATAAATATATATATATATATATTTATATATATATATATATATATATATATATATATATATATGTATATATATATATATGTTATATATATATATATATATATATATATATATATATATATATATATATATATATATATATATATATATATATATATATATATGTATATATATATATATATATATATATATATACACACTCATATCCTAAACTATAATTTTTTATTTTATTTTATTTAAAAATCAATAATATTTTTAACAATTTTAGTCCATGAAGATTAAAATGTTTAATATATCGATGAAGAGGTGCAGCACCAGGCACCTCCATGCTGACAAATATCGGACACACGATGTGACTATACTTATACTGTTAATGCATCAAATCGACTTTTGAATGCGTTGGTTGAAAAGGCGTTAACAAGGTTTGATGGTAAAGCATTCCATGCGTTGACTATGGGGATTGTGAAGAACTTTTCTTTTTCGACACAGCTCTTGACTATCGGCTGAGTAAGTCTTAAGCTATTGCCATGAAGGTTTTACTGGGAAAGCGATTGCTCGTAGACTTGAGGCACAATAAATTCAATTTTGCTGAATTAAATCATTTCTAACACGTCTATCTTCTAGTTTGGTTAATCCAAGTATTGTAAGTCTTTCTTCATATGATTTATGTTTGATGTCTGTGATCAGCTTCATCGTACGCTTTTGAATGCTTTCGAGAGCCTTGATGTCTCCCTTCAGATGTGGCGACCATGATTGGATGGCAAGTTCAAGGTGTGGTCCAACATACGATTTGTAAAGGGCTTTCCAAAGTATGAGGTTTCTGCTTCTGAAGGATTTATTAAGCCGACCAAGTACCTGGTTTGCTCTTGCAGCTGCTGCTTCAACTTGATGCTTGACTTTTAAGTCTTCTGAAATAAGAACACCTAGATCTCGTTCGACTGAACTCATATACATTTCTTGTCTTTCCCATCTGATCAGTCATTGTGTAGACGTAGACTGATTTGTTGGAGCGACCTACGTGCATGCATTTGTATTTGTCCAAGTTAAATAGTAATAGTCACTTTTTGGACCATTCAACAGTGCTATCAATATCTGGCTGGAGATGTGCTTTGTCCTCCTCTGTTTTGATTACACCTAGTATTTTGCTGTCATCACCATATATCTTGATGTGGTGAGCTATGTTGTCCGGTAGGTCATTAATATAGAGGATAAAGAGCAACGATCCTAGCAACAATCCCTGAGGTGTACTCCACTAGTTACTTCTTTCCACTCAGATTCAGCTTTGCAAACAACAACCCTTTGCTTTCGGTTAGCCAGCCTGTCTGATATCCACCTGAACAGTGAGCCGCATAATTTATTTATAAAATAATTTGTTGTATAATTATTGTATAATTTATTATAAAATAAATTATTGTATAATATTATATTCATTGTTTTATTACTATATAGTCAGTCATATTCAAGCCTCCTGTTTACCATCCTTTCATAAATGCTACCACCGGTGTCCTAGATATTGAAAGAGCATTTAGTTCTTGGAGGTACATTTTTTTGTTCTATTGTCCTCTGTTAAATCTTTTTGTGAATGAAATGAGAATTTTATAAACAATAATTTGATAATTTAATAATTACTCTCAAAGGTTTTGTTACTTGAACATTTGTTTAACTTTAAATTTATTAATTTATTGACTTTTTTTTAGACCAAATGTTAATCATTTATGGCAAGTGCTACTGCATCTTAGAAGGATATTTTATAAATTTGATTCTAAAGATCCTGTCAATAGACAAGCAGCGGAGTTGTAAGCATTATAAAAGATAGGGTGTTAGATAAATGGTGGGGTATTATAAAAGATAGGGTGTTAGATAAATGGTGGGGTATTATAAAATATAGGGTTTTGTTAGTTAAATGGTGGGATATTATAAAAAATAGGGTTTTGTTAGATAAATGGTAGGGTATTATAAAAGATAGAGTATTGTTAGATAAATGGTGGGGTATTAGGAGATAAGAGACAAATTTAGAATAGAGGGTGTGATAATATGAGTATTTAGTAAACTTAGAAGTAAAAGTATTTTACTGTCCAAATTTTTTGTTAAATAATTTTTGTTTTAATTTTACTTACGAGTTAAATTAAGTTTATTTACATAGTACACACTAAAAAAAAAAGGTAGAAAATTATACTTTTAAGTTAAAAATTTTATGAAAAATCATTATTTTTAATATAATTCTCTACCTTAAAAGGTAGAAAATTATACTTTACTAAAGGTATATCATATATCCTACCTTAAGGTAGAAATTTCTAGATTTTTTTTTTAGTGTGTAAATAAGTTTAACGTTTACAATTATATAAATAAATTTGTCTAGTAACAAAGTTGTTGGTTTAGGACTCCATAAAAAGCTGAAAATAGAAAATAAAAACAAGATATAATGCTATATAAAGTTTTAATAAATGCTAAATTAATTTTTTAAATAAATTTAGTTGGTTTTAAAAGTTTTGAAAAAAAAAGTGTAAAAAGCTATTTTTAAAAAAAAAACTTTTTACTCACCTTTTTTTTTTCAGAAAACTTTTGAGTATTTTTTTATTTTAATTTTTAAGTCCATCAAAAAGCCACAAAAACAACTGAGTAAACATAAATTGTCTCTTGAAAGGGTACAACAGTTTTCTTATATAAATTTGTGAAACTAAATTAAATCTGTCTATAATAGAATCATTGAAAAATACTTCTGTTTTGTTTATTGGTTCTCTCACTACATATTCAAAAAAGCATTTGGTTATTCATGAGGAGTTGAAGATTAGCAAAATTTTAAATCAGAAAGATAACAAAGCATTCAAATAATAGAGAATTATTCATTGAGCAGGATTTTGAATAGTTTAATTTGAAAGCTTTTAAAGTTCAATGTTTAACTTAAAAACTTGAAAAGTTTAATGAGAGTAAAGAATTATTTTACTTTTACTTTTCAAGCAAGGTTTCATGGGAAATTGGAGCCACAAGTTAAACTTATAAATATTTTCATTTTATTATTTTTCTAGGTAAGTTATATTTTCCATGGCTAAGGAGTCTCACCTTCCACAATAAAGGATTAGATTGACATGATGACCTGTATTAAATGATTGACATGATGACCTGTATTAAGCTCCAATATACCCAGGCCCCTGGCCCTGGTTATATTGGAGCTTTTTGCAAATCTGCAAAATTATAAGATTTTTGCAAATCTGCAAAGCTATAAGAAGTAAGGGTTGATAGCCAGAGCTATATCTACCCCTGGTAGAGAGATATGAAATAATTTATAATTCATTATATATTATAAATTTAATATTTATATTATAATATTTATATTTATTATTTATTATATATATTATAATATTTAATATTTATTATTTATTAATTTTTTTTTTTTTTTTTTTTTTTTAATTATCTTCGCTTCCAACAAGGCTGCAAGCAACCACTAATTAGTGTTGGAAGTTACTGGAAGAGAAAAGATGAAGATTGTAGAGCAAGATAACGATTGACAGACGACCTAAAAGATTGCAAATTATATGAATCAGGAAAACAAGATGAAGGAAGCGAATTCCAAAGAACTGATGTTCGAGGAAAAAAACTAGACGAATAAGAGTTTTTGGAGCACTTACGAACAGTAACAGAAAAAGGATGAGACTTAATTGAATGACGCATGGAATAATAGTCAACGCATGGAATGCTTTGGAGGTTGAAGGTTGGCTGCAAGAGTAGGTCTAACTATGTTTACAATGCGTTTTTGCACCTTGTCTAAAAGAGAAAGGGCATCATTAGAAGATCCGCCCCAGATATGGCAACAGTATTCCATACAAGGCCGGATTTGAAATTTATAGAGATAGAGAATAGAATCCAGAGTAAGAAAGTGACAAGCTAGATAAAGAGAAGCAACTTTAGCAGATGTTAATTTTGCAACGGATTTGATATAAAGTTTCCAAGAAAGTTCAGAAGTAAGAGTTAATTCTAGAAGATAAAGGGTAGGAGACTCATCGAGTACATTACCGTTCATAAATATAGGAAGGTCTAAATTATTGCGACAACGATTATATTATTGACATTTATAATAAATAATGATTGTAGGAAATAGCATAAAAAAGAAAAGGAACTTTAGGAGATGCTAACTTAGCAATCGATTGTATACATGGTTTCCCTAAGAAATCACTAGCAAATAATAATCCAAGAGGGCATAAAGTAGAGGACTTAGTGATAGAGTTCCCCTTCATCAATATAGGAATGTCAATAATATTGCAATAGTTCTTTACAGTAAACAGCTGAGTTTTGTTCAAGTTGAAACTCACAAGCCACTGCAAGCTCTAAGCTGTTACAGAAAGGATTAGATTCAAGATCGGCTGTTTGTTTTATACGGTCGAAAAGTGATAAAGAAAAGTGTAGCTTAGCATCAGACAGCGCCTTTTTACCCAATTTCATTGAGAAAGATTAAATGATTATCAATATGTATCGCATTTGCACAAGGAGCTGAAAACCTTGAAGTAAGAAAGCTTGAAGTGTATTACATATAAAATTTAAATAAAGAAAAAAGATTTAAATAAAGAAAAAATTTAAATAAAGAAAAAAGATATTTATAATAAAGAAACAGCATAAAAAGAGGAGGCTAAAGTGATGATAATGATAAAGATTGATGACGCTGATTATGATGTAAATGTTCATGTATATATATATACAAATATAACATGAATTTCAAATAAAATTAATATATTTTAAGATTTATGAATCACAAACCTGGCCCAGCAATCTGTTATCAAACCCAGTCCTTACCCTGATAAAATATCAATGCTGGTCGCTTAATAATGACCTCTACCAAAACTAAATAGTAACAGTTGATTTTTTAACTAATTTTTAATACAATAAATTACAATAATAATACATTAAATTAATAAATTAGCATTAATTCATATTATAATTAAGCAATAGCAATAAAAATAATAGTTAAACATTTAGGCTGTGTGAAACAATTGATGATACAAAAGTTGCAAAAGAATGCAAAAGTTTGTGGTTCTGATTAAGCATAGAGTACAAAAGTTGTTTTAAAGGTTTTAAGATGAATTTCTTTTAAAACTGTTCTAAAGCAGATGATATAAATATTTTTATGAAAAGAACAAACAAATGAGATGAAGAGCACACAGATGAGATGAATATATTTATGAGATGAACACACAAATGAGACGAACAGTTTTAAAAGATGCTTGGTAACCATAAACATTCAAAAGAAATATTCAAAAGTACTTGAATCACATTTTAGAATTTTCTTTCTTTGTAATTGTTAAATAAAATTTTAATTTGTAATTTATAAATGTTAAGATGAGGATAATTATGATTAACTGGGAACATGTAATCTAAGACAACTGGCCTCATGTCCTGCTGCCTTTTTCTAAGGAAAAGGTTTTTCTAAGAGAAATTAACTCTGACTTTACATACCCCCTGCTTTGGGGCTCTTGGTTGAATAAAACTTCTTGCCTTTTGCAAAAGTAATTTAACTTAAACTGTTTCATCTATACCTCTCAGAATGAATGGATGTTATTCTTTGAATTGCAAATACTTCAATAGTCACATTGTTGACATGGTCATATACTTACATATCAGTTCACCTCTTTATCATGAAATGAAAAAAAGAGAAAGGGAGGCAACCTAATGACAATGGGACTAAAGTTCAAGCATGGCAGTTAAAGCAGTTAGAGCCAACTACATTTACAACACCTTTTTTGACCTTGTCTAAAAGAGAAAGATTGTCATTAAAAGGACTATCCCAAATATGAAAACAGTATTTAATACAGAAACAAAAATAGTGATTTTTAATGAGAGAGTGGAGTAAAAAAATCCCAGGCATTATAAAAAGAGCCCTCGGCAAATGCTAACTTTAAAATGGTTTGTGTATATTATTTCCATGAAAGGTCAGTAGGAAATGATAATTCAACAAGACAAATATGTTGTAGAAACATAAAATGGTATTCAGGATATTCACAGAATTTTCATGTGTATACGAGAAAAGTACGACATTCTTAATGTTATATGATATTATTTCCATATAATGTTATCTTCATATAATATTATTTTCAATAACTTTTAAGCTTTTGGTTAGTGTTAATATAAATTTTTTTGTATCTTATGCATACTCTTTCTTGCTTATTTATAAATGATTATTAACTTTATTTTAATAATATATATATATATTATTATTATTATTATTATTATTATTATTATTATTATTATTATTGTTGTTATTATTATTAAAATAAAATTAATAATAATTTATAAATGAGCAAAAAAGAGTATGCATAAGATACAAAAAAAATTATATTAACACTAACCAAAAGCTTAAAATAATTGTTTTAATGATGTGAAGAAGTCTCAGTTTATGTCAAAATAATAAAAACCACATGTTGTTAAGAGATTTGTGAAGAACCTTATTGCTAAGTAACTGCTGTCATATGTTTGTTAGTTGCAATGTTTTCTTGTTGTTTTTTTGCAATACAGTTTTCTTTAATATAAGCTAAGATTTTTTTTTTTAATTACAGCATTAGAACATTTTGAAACAATGTTTTCTGAAAATTTAAAAAATTTCATTGAGGGTTTCTGAATATAGTAATCATAAATATATTACCAGTAATAAAATAATTGATTGTAACGTTGTATATAGTTAGTAACCATAAGTAAATTACCTTTAATAAAAAAATAATTGATTGTAACGGTTGTATATAATTAGTAACCATAAGTACATTACCAGTAATAAAAAAAATAATTATTTGTAACAGTTGTATATAGTTAATAACCAAAAGTACATTACCAGTAATAAAAAAATAATTGATTGTAACTTAGAAGTAAACTTTGATAATATTTTTACAAATATCACAAATGCTTTTTTTTTATTATTTGTTATATTTTTGTTAGAAATTATATATTGATTAATAAATATTGGTTTATAAAATTAATATAATAAAAAAAGTATTTATATAATAATGGATTGAATTGTAACAACATTTAGGCTGCAGCTTTAAATAATTGTTGTATAAAAATTATTTAAAGCTGATAATTCTCTCTTGTATCCAGACTCCTCCTATAACCAATTTGATTATAGTTTTGTTTTGTTATTGGTTCATTTACTTCAAACTAAATTTTTGAGGAATATTTGTTTTGTAACACAACTTTTTGGTCTTTTTTTGTTGTTGTTGAGATGTTGACATTTTTTTGTTGTTGAAAACCTTTTATTTTTTATTTAATGCAAGCCTTTTTTTTAACATAAATAGTGTTTATGATATTACCTTTATGATTAGTTTTATTTTGCAATTTTCAAAAATTGTTATTGGCTTCAGAAAAAATTATAGATTTGCAAATGTGTGTCTACATATTTTTTTTTATTCATAATTAGAAAAATTTAATTTTCACGGATCTTTATGATAAATGTTTTGAAACTATGTATGCTATTTAATGATTTATGTTCAAATATCGTGAGTTGATGATACATTTTTAAATTTTCAGCAAATTTAAGTAATTAAAAATGCAACAGTTTTATCTGTTTCTTAATGTATTTAGAGTTTTAACTCATATTAAAAACTGTTGTGAACAGAAATATATAATTAGATTATGTAAATATATAAAACAGACTGCTTAAACTAAAAGCATAAAGTATGACTGTCTTTTCAGATTTCAATTAGAAAATAGTTTCGGAATAAATTGCTCTTTTTTTATTACAAAATAAATTTTCTGAAAGCCTTTTTAATTTATGAGAAGAGCTAAAGATTACGGTCGATTTTACACATTCCAGATATTAAGTCTTTTCAGAAGAGACTAGTTTTTTTATAAGGGTTGTTTTTTACATTGATTTGAAGATGCCACCTTCAAACAAAAGAAAGAAAATATATTTGTAATTTTTTAATGATAGATTCGACAAAGATTTAATTGCTTATGAAAAAAAAGTAAAAGAAGAAATCGAACACATTAACAATTATCTTTATGATGATGAAGATAACACAGATCCACATGCTATAAGGTTATTAAAATGATTTTTTGTTTTTTATAATAAATTTTACGTTTGTTATTTTTTATGTTTGTTATGCATAAAAGCAATTTTTATTAAAGTATTTTTTATATTTTTTATTTTTTACATTTATTTTATAGCGTTGTATACGTGTATAGTGGACTTGATGTTTAAATTGAATAGTCTTTATAATGTTTAGTGGTACTTATTATGTACTATGTATATATTTTTTTATAATTTTTTTAGAAAAATTATATACTGTTAATAGTAATTGTTTAGATTCACTGAGTGGAATCCTGATATTCACGAAGAATTAAAAAGTTCTATAGTCAGGCAACAGGTTTGTTTTATATATGTGACGCTTCACGACAAAAGACAATTATTTAACCCTTAATCATTAAAACCAAATACTGATTAGAATAACTAGTTCTAAATAACAAACAAATTTTTTTTTTATCATTTTGTTTGGGTTTTTCTCACATACTTTTATATATAATATTTTTTATATATGTTTGTACATATATATATATATATATATATATATATATATATATATATATATATATATATATATATATTTGTGTGTGTGTGTGTGTGTGTCTGTGTGTGTGTGTGTGTGTGTGTATGTATATATTTATATATATATATATGTATATATATATATACATATGATTTTTTTTACTAAACTGCTTAAATTTTATTATCAAGACTGAAGTGATCGATACAATAGATGAAGATTTTTCTAAACCAAGGCTGTCTGGATTGTCTTACATTGAACCAGGCACTCCGCTCATATTTAGTAAAGAGAGGTGAACGGTGATTTAGTATTGCGTTACTTTAGCGTCTACAATTTTATAGATGTTTCCTATACAGGATGTCCTTTCTATGATTAGAATGAAGATATATTACACTTGAAATGTTACACGTGGCCGTGCATTTGAATCAAAAATTGTTTAAAAATTTTATCAAAGTTTGTATATTTTTTAAATCAGTTGTTTGAATTTTGTCCATTTCTTTGATTTATATATATATATATATATATATATATATATATATATATATATATATATATATATATATATATATATATATATATATATATATATATATATATATATATATATATATATATAGTTAAAAAAATTTGAGATTTATAATGAGAGATATTTAATTGGACTCGTCATTTCAAAAAGGACGCAAATCCAAACCTTTTAACAGTTAGTTTAAAAAATCTAAATTTAAAATTTCTGCATGATTTATCGATTTTTTATAATAAAGTTCAAAAAAATTATGTTTTTTATTTATTTACTAATGTTTAGTTTCTTTAGTATCATTGACATTATTTTTTAATTGATTTGAAAAAGTTTAAAATAATGGTTTTATGTCCTTTTTGAAATGAGAGGTTTACTTGTTCTAAAATCCGTACGAATTAAATTCAGCAGATAATCTAATTTAGATATCGATATTTGATTTTGTTAAAATTTTTTAGCTTATTTATAGTGCGCGACTTTGTGTTGCAATTTAAGTTGGTTTTTTAATAGTTGAAGAAACGGCCTACAACTATTGCGCACTTGTACAATACAAAGACGTTTTTGAAAAAATAATTTTAAATTTCCACTGAAGTGATGATATTAAAAAACAAATATTTACGATCATCAAAGAAAATTTAGTAATAAATTAGACAATACATTTTTTTATCTTTATGTTTTTATATACAAATAATTTATGAAATAGCCATTACCGTAGTGTGTAAACTTTTGTTTTGTGGTATATTTTTACTAGTACTTCCTTCGTACAATGGCGTCGTTTTGCGGCCATGTCTTCAACTTTAAGAAAACTTTAAACAAAAATTACCGGGTATCTAATTTTTTAATCGGTTTTGATATTTGTAAATTATTTTTTGTAAATATGAAAATTCCTTTCTAGATTTTATCAATGTCCGTGAAGGAGCTCTACTAAATATAAGCATTTGATAAACGAAAAATTTATGAAATATTTTTATGATTGTAAATATTTTTCTTTTTTTCTTGAGAAAATAAAGTTATTTTATTATAAAATTGAGTTTTATTGGCTGGATTTAATAGCACTAATATAAAAAATATGGCTTTATATTTTTGTTTTATCTTAATATTTTGTTAATATTAAAATTCGATTCTATATCTCAAAATCCTTTTATAATATATTATTTTAAATTGTCAAATCTTTCAAGTTTGAGCTGTTCCATCGGGTTTTTCAATTCATAGTTTGATGGATGATTGTGCTCAATTTTTATTCAATTACAATTTTGTAACAAATTTTCATTTTTGTTCTACTCCTGGGTTAAAAGTGTGTTTTCCGAACCCGTTAGATCTTAAACAGAAAGGAAATTGCTGTTATTCCAGAACAACTTTGCTTCTGTGACCGGGACAATGAAATTTGAAAAATTGCATTCAAGTGGAACTTAGTTATTGATAACGTAAAAGTCACGGATCAGAGGAAGCAGCATCAAAGATTCTCCAACTTCTTCATTCAGCGTGATGGGCTGTGCTTCTGCAACGATGTTGCCGGTCTATTTCGGGCTATAAGTGTAGCATGTAATCCTTTTGAATTGCGCTTGTTCATAGGCAGTTCCTCCCGGAGCCTCAAAACCATGTTGCTTTACAATCGAAACAACTAGCCGTCTCTTCCGATTGGTGACTTCAAAATGGTATCATTCCTCATGGGTCTTCAAGGAGGTTTCACAAAATTTCCTTGTTTTCTCAGTCTCCGGGAAAGTCGTGACACTAAGGCGCGTTATCGCACAAAAAACTGGTCTCCTGAAAATGACCGAGTTTTCTGTTGGGAAGACCAATGTGAAGTGGGAGTGGCTGATAGAAACTCATAAAGTGCTTATGCCACTGCCTCACATCGAGTTAGGTCTCATTAAGCAATTTGTCACTGCTCTAGATAAGGAGTCAGCAGCATTTCAATACCTACAAGATCAATTAATTATTAATTTAAAAAATTGAAATGCTCTAATATGATTTTTTTTATTTTGTATTTTGTATTTCGTTTATTTTGCTACTTAACATAAATAATCAACATACATATATAAAAGAAAAAAAACAAAGAAGGCAATAAAATCTTGTCAGCACCGTTTTTGTATATACAATATAAAATATAAACTTTTCTTATTACAATTTATTTTTTTTTTTATTTATCTTTGTCAAGCAACTATTTAAAATCAAAGGTTATTTTTGATAAAATATTTAAAAATATTAAATACAAGTACATTTCATTATTTATAGTAGTTACGAGACCGGAGAACCTGAAGAAGATAAAATCTTATCATCAGTAACCTTTGGTAAAACAAATTGGAAATAAAAGTATATTGTTAGAAAAAATCATGTAACGAATCTTGATTGGCAATAAATTCGATAATGTTCTTTTTAAAATTTTGAGAGAAGAAGCCAATAGCTTCTTTAAGTTTAAAACTCAGGCTTGTAAAATGGTTCCATAGCATTGTACCACGAATGGCAAAGCTCGTAAGTTTTGATGTACGGTAAGGTTTTTTAAATCTTCTGCTGGATCGAGTGTTGTATCGGTTTAATGTTTTAGGGAAAATATTTTCAAAAACCATTGGCGTTTTTTTTGACTGATGTTGAAACATAAATTGTGTAATTTTGAAAATATTTAGTTCATAAATATTAAGTGCCCTCACGCTTTTTAGAAGAGGTTTAGCATTTGTGAAGCGATTTTGAAAATGAGTAATGTATGATTCAGTTGTTTAAGGAGACAGTCGAATTTAGATTTATTTGTACTACCCCAAACAATATTGCCATAAGGTAAATAACTATTTATGAATGCAAAATATAAATAAGTTAGCGTAGATTTTTCTAAGATTTGTCTGGTTTTATTTAAAATGCCAATATTTCTTGCGATTTTATTGCTAAGATGTTTAATATAATCTCTCCAGGATTAGTTTTCATCTATTAAAATACCAAATAATTTATTTGTGAATGAGCGCTCAATTTTGTTGTTATTTATATATAATGTTAGTAAAGATTTTGGAATGTGTTGAAACTTTCGTTTAGAATAGAGAATGGAAAACTTAGTTTTATCAGCGTTTAAAGATAGGCTGTTAGCGATAAGCCAGTTTGATATTTGTTCTAGTTCATTATTTGCTACTTGAAATAGAGAGATAATGGCATTGTGAGAATAGAATAAAGTGGTGTCGTCTGCAAACATAATAGTAGCATAGTATTTGATGCTTTATATAGATCGTTGACATAGATTAAGAACAGTAGTGGACCTTAGCTGGAGCCTTGTGGAACCCCATATGGTGTTTTAATTTTTTTTGTCTGAAAGCCGTCATTTAGAGAAATAAACTGCTTTCAATCAGTTAAGTAACTGGTAAACCATTTATGGTATTCGTGACTTATTCCATAATGTTTGAGTTTTTCTAATAAAATCTGATTGTTAACGGTGTCAAATGATTTTGACAAGTCTAGGAATATACCTACAGTGAATTCGTTATGAGAAGATGATCCACTGATAACTTCAACAAGTTGCATAAGTGCATGTTCCGTTGATTAATTTGATTGAAAATCATATTGGTTATAATAAACAGATTGTTATCATTCAAAAATTTAAGTATCCTATTAAACATGATTCATTCGAGGATTTTTGAAAAACGGGTAACATCGATATAGGTCGATAATTTGTAACCAGGCTTTCATCTCCTGATTTAAAAATGGGGACTAATAAGTTCATAGCAGTCTTTGGTCATGATTGCAGAAATAGAATCATAGCCTGTTTATTTGTTATTTATATTTGATTTTTTTTATTGAATCATCAAGTTCTTTACTAGTGAGTTTTTTAAATGCTAAGCTTTTATCCGACTTCGATAGATAGCTCAAGAAATGTGCAGGAGTGTGTTTAATTTTGCTGGCTAAGTTTGGACCAGTATTTACGAAAAATTTATTAAATTTTGTTGCCACCGATTTTACATCAGAGATCTGTGTGTCGTCTACGGGAATCACGCTTGGTATTAATAAAACTCTTTAATAGCATCCCACATTTCTTTCCAGTTACCATTTAGCTCTAACAGCTTGTTTTTGAAATATGTAGTTCTGGCCTTTTTTTAAGTTCTTTCATAAAAACGTTTGTTCTATAAGTAAATATCACGATCTTTCTTTAATTCAATAAAGCGAATATATAGCTTTTGTTTTCGCTTCGGAGACTTTAAAAGGTTTTTAGTGAACCAAGGACTAAGAAGTCCTTTAGTTTTAATACGGCTTATTTTATTAGGAAAATGCTTATCATACAAATTCAAAAATTTATCTAGGTAAAGGTTGTAGCTGTTATTAGCACATGTCTCGAGAAAAACATAGTTCCAATTTACAGTCGATAGCTCTAGTTTAAACATATTTTTTGCTCGGGTTGTAAAGATTCTTTTTTTGAAGTACCAGTCCTTTTTTAGTATATCTTTTGGTTTTATGAAAATTGCATAAAATCAAAAGATATACTAAAAAAGGACGGCTCAGAGAACGACAGGTCATATTTAATTTTATAAGTAAATTTATCAAGCACATTGACACATATACCCCCGTCTGTTTTTGAAGACTTGCGTTCAAAACTAATGGCCCTGTAGTTGGGCAAAATAAAATTAAAATTTTGATTAAATGTTGTATCTAAAATCTGGCTTTCCGTTAAACAAATTAAGCTAAAGTTAAAGTTAAGATTATCTAGTAGGACTTTTAGTTTGTCGAAGTTTTTAGTAATACTACGAATATCTAAATGGAACACTGAGAATTGATTAAAAAACATAGTTTACATCTTTTAAGGAAAATAGTGGCTTTATCCAATTCAAAGTAAGAAGCGCTCAGTTTGCTTTTGTTGAGAAGTTGATCTTGAATAAGTTGAGATTTTATTCGAGTATAGTCAATATTTGTCTTTTTTGGGGAGATGAAAAATTCGAGTAAGATTTTCTAATACCTAATGAAATTTCTAATACCGTAATGAAATTACGGTATTAGAAATCTCCCCAAAAAAATGCTTGGTTAGTTTTTATTAAATTAAGAACTAAAAAATGTTACATTTATATTATCTATTTTCATAGATAATATAAATGTAATCGCCGAGAGAGATATTATCTATTTTCATAGATAATATAAATGTAATCGCCATCTCTTTATCAATAGAAACTAAAAGTGCGTTTTAGCATACCAAGAGCTTTATTTGCTTTAGACGTAGAGCTAATTGCGTGTTGTTTCCACTTTTTTTGTTTTCACAATTTGTTTATGCTAATGAAACACTTAAGTATATGATCTGATTGGCATCAAAACTTCAAAAAGGTTAAACTAAAATCAAACATTTTGCACAATTTTCCTCTCAGATAGATTTTAGTTTATTCTAAAATTGCAAGGAGCTTTCAACTATTTTTTTTCTACTTTGAAAATTTCTACTAGGACCTAATAATCTCTGTGACAAGGTTTATGTTACAAAAATGTTATTGTATCAAGAAGGTGCTGTTTTTGGAGAACCAATGATTCTCTTTCGAAAAGTGTTTTAGACGTTATGATAACTTGTAATACAAGTTGTATGTTTGATGGTTCTAAATTTCTTTTGAATTCTTGTAAACAAATTAATTCTTAACTTTTATGTGACAAATTCATTTAACTCTTGAATCAGTAAGAGTCAAATAACAAAGCAAAGACATTATATGTGATAAAAATCTAATTCTAAAATTTTATGAAAAACCTTGCTTAACTACGGTGGAACTCTTTTGTTGTTTGACTTATACCCACGTTATTAAAACTATACGAAATAATGAACACCGAAAACAAAAGTTTCTTTCTGATAATACTTACAATGCTTTTCTTAATCACCCTGAAACTTCTACTATCTCAAACGTTACCAAGACTGGTGATTTTATTAAACTTGCTGTCACATGGAAAACTTTTAATCTTAAAAGTGTGGGCATATATTTTAGGTTCAATAATGATTAAAAAGCTTTCTCAGAGATCTAAATGATAAACAAAGACATTTTGTTTTGGTTTTTTGCGATACAGCATTATGCATTAAAAAAATCAGAAAATAGGCATAAAATATCAACACATGTCACAAGGCATTTTACAAGTTATACACTTGAAGAAAAGTCTAGCTGATTAACCCTTTATTGATTAAAAAACTAATTTTCCTGAAAGAGAAGCAATATTTGAAGTAAACACAACACCTACTAAGCAGTATATATTTGCCAATGGCGTTCTTTCATTTCTCAATTTACTAGTTTTTGAAAAATAACTCTTTTGAGGCGCGTCGCAAAGTTCCAACGTTGTCGTAATACATCTAATCAGGCTATTATTTTGACGTATGTTGTCGGCAGGGCAGATAAAAAATACTTTGACATTCTGAGCTAATTTTTCGTTACCTACGCTAATGGAATTCAAGGTTGCATAAACATTTAGGGTTTCAATTCGTTCTCGTTCTTTCTTTTGCCTCTGCTCTTTTTCCTTTAGGCTCCTCCATGATAACTGGTTTTATAACGATGTTATGAAGATGATGAAAATATGTTGATAGTTTCCTCAGTCAATTTTGTCCAATCTAACAGACATGGATTAGTAAAGTTTTTTTATTCTGCATTTGCATATAATTTTTCTATTATTTCCAAATTTATCTGCTAGTGATCAAAATATCCTTGGAATTCTTTTCTAGAAAAGAATTCCATTTGGGAGTTTTACAAGAATTTGTAAGTACTTAATTTTCTTATCTCTAGTTAAAGAAGTAAGAAAACTGTTTTTAGATCTCCTTTACATCTCAAACTATGCTTACTATGATCAACTAACACAAGTTCTGGTTTCTTGATTGAGGATTAAGTTCAAAATGATTTTAATTTGCCTAATAGGGGATTTCTGTACACTTTTTTGTATTGATATCTGTACACTTTTAACAGGAATTGTATTTCCTCCTATTGCAAGTTTTAAATTTATACTGTGCTGAAATCTATGAACGTATTAGCTTTACTTTTTGATTTCGGAAAAAAACATGATAAAAAACAATTTAAAACTTTTCTTTTTTTTGTTAATTTGATGTGTGATACCTGACATTTATTTTTTAAAGAAATTTTAACTTGATCTTTTGCGTAAATAATATCAAATCACACACTCAAATCAAGCTTATTTAATAGACACCAACAATTTTAAACTAAAATTTTTAATTTTTTTTTTAGAAAAATCAGTTGCTTCAAGCGGAAGAACCTTTATTATACTATAAAACTATGTGGAAAATTTGAAAGTGGCAAGTTTTCTAGATTCTTATTTTAATTCATTTTTTTTTCACATATAATTCTTTATGAAACATAAACTAGAATGAGCTATAATTAACGAATTCTTAAAAAGAATGTTGATGTAAAACATTTTCTCTTGTTTTTTCATATATAATGAAACGTAATTAATTTATTTTTTAGACATGTTTGGGTTCTGCAAAAATGGGTAGTTTTACATAAAAGCTATAAATTAGATGAACTTATGTAAATAAAAAGTTTAAAAAAAACATGGTTGCAATATATTTGGGGTTAGATAGCCAGTTATCAACAAAAAAAATTTATATGTTTTTGTGTTTAAGTTTTAAAATAAAACATTTAAATTTTTAGCTTGAAAACTTTAACGTAATGCAGAAAAAAATAGGTAAGCCGCTTGAAAGTTTTAGTTTTGTTTACGTAAAAAATGGCGTTTTTAAAGCGGTTTATTTAAGTTGATTTTTCAAACTTATTTTTCAAATAAGATAGCTAGAAGTTAACTTAAAATTTTTTATTTTTGAATTAACTCTTATTTTCATATAAACTATCTACTCCAGCTTGAAACAATTTAATACCAAAAATTGCTGGTACCTATTTACTAATGAATTTTTTTAACTATATTAAATGTAGAGAAATCAAATACTTGTTATAACTTACTTAAAAAAGCTTTGTGTTACTTTGTTACTCAATGGTGGCATACATAGTATGTCACTATTGAGTCACAAAGTTACACAAAAACGAAACAAAGAAAAAAAAAAAATGCTAACCAAAAAGAAACACATTTTAAACTTAAGGTAAACTTTTCAAACCATTAAAATCTACCTTTCATTTTTAATACAACTGTTGTTGTTACGCAAGCAGAAGAGCTTGCCTGAATTTAAATCATCTTATTTCTAAATCTTTTTTTTTTCTTTCTAAATTAGTAATAGACAAAAACAATAAGTTAACTTAGTATTAATAAATTAGACAATTAAAGCTATTTTACTTAAACATTGACTTAAGTATTTTATAAAGTGGCTGTAAAAATGTGAACTTAGTTAAATTTAGAGCGCGTGCTGAGGCAATTTTTTAGCCTCCTAATCTCATTGATGTACAACTTTTCTACGATATGTCGACTTTAAATATTTTTAATTTTTTTGGTTAACTTATATATCTGATAAACTGTAAGAAAATAACACAAAGAATAAAAAAAAAACAAAAAAAAACAGTTTTAAATAATTTATTACCCTAGTTAACTATAACAATTTTTTTAATTGTTTTGTGTTATTTATAAAATAGTATATTAGCGACGCCTATATTTAACAAGCTCAAGGCCGCAAAAGTTACGTAACTCATTAAAATCAACATCAAGGTATTGCCTCCAGAATCGTTTATCACTTCCTATAGACCACGCAGGATAACAAGGGCTATCAATACCTTGAAATATACGTGCAATAGCTCGACCGGTAAAGTTCTGATCTGGATAAGCACATAACAAGGAACTAATATCACTTGATATAGCATTCCATCGACGGTTTGATGTTTTTACTTTAAGATCACACGAGCACATTTCTTTTAAAATAGCTAACTGTTGCTCAGCGCTACAAAGAAAATAATCACTAATAGAAGAACGAGCTTTACTGTCAACGCGAATATCACTCTTCAATTCGTAATAGTTTTCTTCAGACAAATCTCGAAATAAGTTATATAACGCATCTAATTGCAAAACTCTTTGTTCCTCTTGTCTTGTTGTACTCTCGTGTAAATAGTCGCATATTTCGTCTTTATCGGCATTGCTTAAACCGGAAGCAGTTAAAATGTGAAATGAAAGCTGATCACATTCAACTATGACACCAGAGTTTCCCGTTGTGTTCAAAGGCGCATCAAGTGCAAACGACATGTTCCATTGGAGATAGCGAACCTCACGAGATACAGTTAAAACATCCCAACACATCTGATCAGCAATTTCCGCAAAACTGAAATCAATACTTCTCATTTCATTGATATTGCGTAGCTGATCTTTTGGTAGACTTTTTATAGCCAAAGCAATAGGAGCAAATCTCTTAGCCAGTAATTGAAATTGTTCAGGTCCCCCATAACATTTGACTGAACACCAGTCTCGTAATGGATTTAAAACTTTTAGCCAACGTTTAGGGTGAAGTTCTAAATACGCCATTAATGTTGCAATGTTAACTTCTGGCATATCAAGAGCTTGAACAGTGCTATCTATATTAAAGGTAACGCGGTGACCTGAGCAAACATTGTTTTTTATATCACTTTTAAGTCGCGCTTCGTTACACACATTTGTGTTAACCTTATCTTCAACGTTCTCTTCGTAACAGCATTTATTTATTTGTACATCTTCGATCAAAGAGCAGTCATTAATCATTTGACTGCAAAATTCAGCTGAAAACATCTCATTGATTTCATCCACTGACATCTTTTCTATGTTTTCTTGATTGTTAGAATTTAAAACCTCGTGTTTTGCACATAACTCTTCACATTTACATGGTGGGAAAGCAATATCAACAAACTTTTGAATTGTACTTCGATCAACTGTGTTTCCATAGATATGACGTCGCAACTCGTAAAGGTCATTCCCCTGTATAAAATAAATTTCTGCTAATATTTATACGCATAATCCTTAAAAAATAAACTTACCAAACTTACATCATCATCAAGAAACACATGAACATATGATGGTTTTCCATCCCGACCTGCACGTCCTATTTCTTGAACGTAATTTTCAAAGCTGCTAGGCATGTTATAATGAATTACAGCACGCACATCCGATTTATCTAAACCCATTCCAAATGCAACAGTAGCAACAACAATTCTTAAGTCTCCAGACATAAAATTTATTTGAACTTGACGACGTTGGGAGGGTTTTAAACCAGCGTGGTAAGATTCGATGTTCCACCAAAATGGTTTTTTCGCATTTTTTCTAAGAAACATTATTTAAACATTAAAAAGTTCTATATAAACTTGAACTCTAATTAAAACTGGTTATAATCCTACTTTTTACCCTTCAGTATCGTAGCATCTTTTTGATTTTGCACGTTTTCGTCGGTATGTTTAGCTGGAAGGCTTGTTCTCAGCATAGAAGCTAACCTGTCTGCGTCCGTACGACGAGTTACGTAAATAATGATGGAATCACAAGATAAAAATGGCTTCATCTGTAGTAATTCAGTTAAAGCCTGGAAAAAAAAAAGTTAATTTATTCCTTAATGTAAAAAAGTAAACTAAAAATTCCTTAATGTAAAAAAGTAAACTAAAAACTCTAAAAGTACTTTAAAATTTAATTAAAACAAAAAATCAAAAAAATGAAATTAACTCAAAATTTAAAAGAAACAACCTCGTCTCTATTTAAAAGAAACAACCTCGTCTCTATTTAAAAGAAACAACCTCGTCTCTATTTAAAAGAAACAACCTCGTCTCTATTTAAAAGAAACAACCTCGTCTCTATTTAAAAGAAACAACCTCGTCTTTATTAAAAAGAACCAACCTCGTCTCTATTGCAATCTCTAGAAGCGGTAATGTGCAAATTAGGAGGTATTGGATGAGGATCTCTTATTATAGAACCTTCTAAAGGAATTTCTAAATGTTGCATTACAGATATCGCTGTTGCATGAGAAGCAGTGGCTGTGATTCCCAACAAATTGCTAATATTATAACGTTCGCGAAGAACCTCAATATTTATACAAAATGTATTTTTAGTTGTACAATATAATTTTTTAAGCTATTTACTTATTGAATCAAAATTATAATTATAAATGAATCTTCAAATAATTTTATAGCTCAAATTATAAATGATGACTTTGAAGTTACTTTCAAAATTGATTATTAAACCCTTCAATATAAAATTAAAAATTGAAATTGTCAAACTAAGCAACATATACATATTAAAAATTAAACTGAGGAATGGTAACATTAAATTACCTTGCACACTTTTAGGTAAGATGGCCTAAAATTATGTGACCATTCCGAAAGACAATGTGCTTCATCAATACATGCAAATGCAATTGGTGGCAAAGATGATTTTGAAGGAAGAATTCCTGATCCAAATCCACCAGATACAAGTGTTTCTGGTGAAATCAGTAGTACAGCTATCTTACCATTTTTAACTTTTTCAATAACACGTTTTTGCTGAAGCTTTGTCATGCTACTGTTTAAACATGCACCTGGGAGAAATGGTGGGAGACTTGCAACCTAAAAGACAACTATTTAATTTCTGACAAAAAAATTATAACAGTTATTAGATATTGTTTATATCTTCTTGAAAATTGTATAAAATAATGACAGAAAGTAAGCAATTTAGAACAATAATGACAGAATATAAGTAATTTAGTACTTTTTAAATTTGGTATTGTTCTAAACTCACTAAATGCATATATACATCATTATTTGCAAATAATGATTATTATATCATTAAAAACATATATACATCATTATATCATTATATGCACATAATGATCATTGCATCATTAAAAGCATATAAACATCACTACATCATTATATGGACATAATGATCCTTAAAATTGTCTTAAAATTGTATAAATATCTTATTTACATAGAATCTAAATAATTATACCAAAGTTTATGTAAACAAATTTCAAAGTTTATGTAAAGAAAATACTTTCTACTTATGGCATTCCAGTATATTGTGTCACTTTAAACAAAATACCTGATCCTGCATCAAAGCAACTAATGGTGATACAACTATTGTCAAATACTTTTTTTGCTTATAATATAAAAAAGCTGGCAATTGGTAACATAATGACTTTCCAGAACCAGTTGATAAAATAACTAAGGTGGACAAACCTAAAAAAAAATTTTTATCACCTCAGTGTTAAAAATTAAAGAACATTTACTAATGGTAAAAAAATATAAATAATATTTAATATTTTGGTCTCTATTTACTAATGGTAAAAAAATATAATTAATATTTAATATTTTGGTCAGAATAAGTAAAAAATAGAATGAAATAAAGGTAGAATGAAATAGTTACTCATACTTTTGCTCTTAATTAATTATTGGATAATCTTTTTGCTAATATTTTTAAATCATGTTGTAGAGAATACTTTTCTGAGTTAAATGATATCAAATTTTATTTTTGATGAAAAAAAATTTATTATAAATTTTTAAGTTTTTGTGTAATAAGATTTTTTTTATTATATTGAAAAATGAACTTAAAACTCTCAGAAGTTAAGTTTGATATCATTGAACTTAAAACTCTCAGAAGTTAAGTTTGATATCATTGAACTTAAAACTCTCAGAAGTTAAGTTTGATATCATTGAACTTAAAACTCTCAGAAGTTAAGTTTGATATCATTGAACTTAAAACTCTCAGAAGTTAAGTTTGATATCATTGAACTTAAAACTCTTAGAAGTTAAGTTTGATATCATTGAACTTAAAACTCTCAGAAGTTAAGTTTGATATCATTGAACTTAAAACTCTCAGAAGTTAAGTTTGATATCATTGAACTTAAAACTCTCAGAAGTTAAGTTTGATATCATTGAACTTAAAACTCTCAGAAGTTAAGTTTGATATCATTGAACTTAAAACTCTCAGAAGTTAAGTTTGATATCATTGAACTAAAACGCTGATCAAGAATCTTTTTTCAAAATTAAATTTGCAAAAAAAAAAAAAAAAAAACTATGAGTAAAAAACGAAAAAGGAGAATTATAGGGTTGAATGAAATATGCTAATAGCAAGTGAAACAATAGCTCACTTCTTAAATCTGCCTTTTTTTTAATTAAATCTCATGTGACCAATAAATCTCCAACCCAAAAATTTTTTTAGTTTTACTGACAGCTTTTATTAAAAGATAAATGAATGAAATACGCTAGTTATTCTTTTGTTAAATGCGATTTGAAAATACCTGAAATACTTGACAGGTTGAAAGATGCTGAGAGCAAAAAAGCAGCAAAGCAAGCTAAAAAACAACGTAAGCCTAGCTCTAATGACAAATGGCAAATAAACCAAGCAAAAAGTCCATCGAAAATATTAGTTGCAATTGTAAAAAGTGCTAAAAAGTTTTAGACGAAGCTTCAGCAAGTCAAAATATGGAATAATACCAGTGTAAAAATTTGAATTGCAAAGTTTGGCTATGTCAAACATGCATACCAAAGCGATACGTAAAAAATGCTGAGTTTTATTGCACCAAGTGCCGCACAACTGAAAACTCAACTCAACCTCTAGTACCTCTAAACGACTTAACATCATTACAAGAATGAAAAAGTTTAGTTTATTTGATTGATTTTTTAATTGTTATTATTGATTGTTTTTTTTAATTGTTATTATTGGATGCTTTTTGTTTTTTTTTAATAAAACGTTGTTTTAATTACACATACATTTGCATATTTCGTTCTCCCGAATGTCAGTGTAGAATGGAATAATTTTTTTTTAATCAAATAAAGTTTCATAAAAAATTATTTAATTTTTATATATTTAAATACAGCTCAATATTCTCTGCAGCTTTAAAAAAAAATTTCCGTAAAAAATAAATTATTAAAACCCTTAACTATTCCATTTGACCTTATTTTAACTCTACAACATAAGGTTTTCAATTTATTGTTTTTTAGCTAAAATGAACAGCAAGTCAATGCAATTTTAGAATCCAAGTTCTTTGGTTCTCAAACTTTTTTTTTTTTAATATTACAAGTATTACTTTCATAATTTTCTTTGTAATTTTTTTCATGATTTTTTTGGGCTAATACTTCTTTACTATGCTGAAAACTACACCTTCTAAATAAATTTCTGGATGGATTTCTAGGCAGGCATGAAAGCTTTTGGTCCTTATTGTTATTTATATCTCAAAACTTGCAATAGCCCATAGATTTTTTCTTCTTTTTCAGCTTTTACTAATCGTAATCATTTCTTTCATTAAAAACAACTCTCTGGATAACAAGAACAAGTTTTAAGAACAAATATCTTTTTATCAATGCATAAAACGTAAATTGTGTTTGACACTAAGGTTCATTATTCACAGATTATTAAACCTTGTATTTTATTCTAGAAAGTTCTGAAGACTTTCAGAAAATTACTTACATAAAGTTATTTCTCACTTAAATAACTTTATTTTTCTGCCATCATATTACAAAAGTGTTCTCAGGAACTCAATTCAATACTCTTAAAACTATTTAACAAGGCCTAACTAATCTTGTTTTCCTGCTTTCTAGAAAATGACATCTGTAGTTCCAATTTTTAAAAAATTTTAAAGATTGCTTGAGTCCCAAGGCTAAGTAACCCAGTCTAACTGACTTCGGTCTGCTTACTATTACTACTGATTTCTCATCCTGAATCTAACAAACTTAGTCTCTGAAAATTAAAACAAATTTCAATACTCTTGATTTAAATTTTTTCAAAGACTAAAGTTGTTAAAAAAAAAAAGATCTCATAAGATAACAACAAGAGAGGTTCTTTTGTTTATTTGATGCAAGTTGTGAGGCAAGGGCTTTTGCTCTTGATTTAACAAAGACTATGGATGAAGTCTGGAATGCTAGTCTTCTATATAAGCATCCTTCATATAGCGTATCTGATAAAATTTTAAATAACTTGAACCATTCGTTGTTAACCACAGCACTAAAGTCCTCCTTGATGAACACTCACCGTCACTACCTTGATGAACACTCACCGTCATTTTTAAAATATTCTGAGATACTACAAGGTTCTATCCTTAGCCCTATGTTGTTCATATCATAATGTTGTTCATATCATAATGTTTTGTCCATATCATGTGTCCATATCATGTGTTGCTTATATCATGTGTTGCTTATATCATGTGTTGTTCATAATGTTCATATTGTTCATAATGTTCATAATGTTTATGTTGTTCATAATGTTCATATCATGTGTTGTTCATATCATGTGTTGTTCATATCATGTGTTGTTCATATTATGTGTTGTTCATACCATAATGATCTTTCTGAAAACCTAAACTTGAAAATGGCTCTATTTGTTGATAATACCACTATATAATTGAGTTTTCATCAAAAAGTCACTTTTTGACCAAAAAAAAAACTAAGTTGTTTACTGCTAATAATTATTGCAATAATGTTGATGATGCAATAATGTTGATGTTGCAATAATACTGATGTTGCAATAATGTTGATGTTGCAATAATGCCAATGTTGCAATTTTGATGATGCAATAAGGTTGATGTTGCAATAATGTTGATGTTGCAATATGTTCCTGAATGTCAACACTCTTACAGAGTCATCTACTTTACATCTTCTTAGATTATCTTTCACCACTTACATCTCATGAAAATTCATGGCATTTACTAAGGTTGCCTCTCTTTATTGTATTCATATTTGAACTAGTTCTTCTTATGAGACTTTTAAACAAGGTCCAAAAATGCATTGTAAATGTAGTTGCACATTGATTAAGATTGAACATACTTTTGATTGTGGTTTATCTCTTTTCATTTAAATCTTCAAACAATGTTTGCTGCTCAAATAATCTCTTGTTTAAAACAAAACTTAATGTGTGACTTGTTGTTTATTAAAATTATATTATTTTACAGTAACTGTTCCTTTGTGTTTGAAAAACTTTTATTCAACTTGTTCTGTTTTCTTACTCTTGATGTCTCTTTTTTACTTTTTATTAATTTCTAACTTAAATAGAGGTTGTTTGCAGCTTTGCGACATTTTTGTGTTTATAAAAACACATATTAAGCTTATCTCTGTCTTTAACAATGATAACCTTTTTTTTTTCAGAATATAACTTTACAAAAAAAAAATCTTACATTAAGTAGTAGGGGTTTTACATAGTTTGTTACATAAATGTTAAACAAGACTTTACATTATTAACTTTATTGATTTTATATTATAATTTCCTTTACATTACACCTTGAATAGGCATTTTAAAAAAATATTACCAATATTTTGAATAGTAATCAATTTGTAATGTTGTAAATTTATTGAAAATTTTAGACTATATTAATGGCACTTGTGTGAATCATGCATTTTACAGCTAAAAAGCTTAGTTGTGTTAATGTTTAATTTTCTTAATTATACAAACTACTTTTTTTAAACTATTGTTATAAATGTTTAGTAACTAATGTTTAGTATACAACAAACTAATATTATTAAATTATTAGGAAAAAAAAGTAATAATAAGTAACTTTAATTAAAAAACTATTTACATAAAAAATATTTCCATAAAAGAAGTGTGGAAACGAATTAATGGTCTACCAGAAACAATTCTTGCAATGGCTTCATGTTGACCAACACGAAATGATTCAAAGCCAAACACCTTGAGTTCATTTTTTACATAGTCATAAGCTTCTAAAAATTATTAAAAATTTATGAAAAGCATTAATATATAATAGTAAAAAAAAAAAAAAATTGAAGAATATTTATGCAGATGCATATAACTACCTAAACTTGGCTTTCCATCAACAGGTGGGATTAAACATTCATTAACTGTTGTGCAGGGTTCATCAACATATGGTTCTCGAGGCCAAATTGGTTCAATATTCATTACATCTGCTTCAGAAAATTAAAACTTTAAATTTTTTATATGAAAATTCTAAAAACTGTTTGCTTTTATTTACTAGAAACATTTGATTGTTGTGTTTGGTGGTATATTTAACAGATTTTAATTTAGTTCAAAAATTGTTTATTTGTTTGTTAATTTTTTTTCAAAAAAATTTCATTTAAAATCATTTTCTTTATTTCATAAGTTATGTGATATAATTTTTTTCATAACTTATGTGATACAATTTTAGTGTCAATAATCACTTTGAAATGCAAATCTTAGTAATAACCAAGATTTTCATTTTAAAATAGTCAATCAAGACAATGATTTGACAAAAAGACAAAGTTATTGGTATTAGCTTTAATTCTATCTTTTTTCGTCACTGTTTGTAACTCTTTAAATATTCACTGATATCAGCAGCAATATTATGCCAAAAAAAATTTCGTGCAATCTTGTCACATATTTTTTCTTCTATTAGAGGACTTTTTTTATTTTTATTTCATTTTTTTTAATCACCAATAGGGTACAGTAAGATTCTTATATTTTTGAAAAAAATAAAATTTAAGCTTAGGAAAAAGTATATTATTATTTTCTGATTAGAAAATGCTTGATACCAAAATTTTCTCATTTAGACATTAAATTAAAT